GGGGGGGGGGGGGGGTGGGGGGGGTTTATATAGTCATTTTATATAGCGTTTCTTTCTTACCATAAGACAAGTGACAGATTTTTAGGTATCTATCCAGGCTGACAGCTGTCATGGTAATAAGGCTCCCACAGCCAAAGAAGAAACCAGCCCATCCATACCAGCGGCAGCCCATCCATCCAAACACCCAGCGGTGAGAAAAGAAGGAAATGATACTAAAGGGTTTTCCTACAACTTCAAAAGGAAAAAAGAACATCAGTTGACCAATAAAATCCATCACTGATACAACCACTCTTTTCCAGAAATGTAAACCCTCTCCTTTGCCCAAAGATACAGTAAAATTCTCTGCAGAGTGAAGAGAGTGCTTCAGGCACAACAGATGTGGTGACTTGAGTGCCCTCCGTCCACAGGACTAAGCCTAAGACAGCTGTAGCTGGATCCCATAGCATCTATGCTGTGGTAGGATGACCCAAGCCTGCAGAATGTCTGGAAATGTGCTTTACTGCAGACCACGTGAGCCAGAAGTAAACCCATACTCTGGTACTGAACATGTGCAGGCTCCTTGCTTTATGGAAACTTCAGAGTATGTGTTAAGTCCACATGTAAACACATGCCAGTATGTAAACAGTAGAGGTGATGAGTGAATCTGGGCTTGAAACAGGTACACATCTAGTTAGGCTACATCCCTATAATCCACTGAGTGTCTTCAAACACAAAATAAAGAAATTTGCCTTCAAAGAGGGCTTCTGCAAAACTATCAACGCCCAATAGCGAGATGCATACTGTGGTAAAGGGTTAGATTAGAAAGGAAGATGGTGCTATGGTTGTAGCATGGACTTGAGCTGCAGAAGTGGTTTCAGCTCCCGTCCATACCACACTCTTCCTCAGTGACTCTCAGCAAGTCATATTAAAAAGTTGTCAGCACCCCCAAACAGAAGGGAAATACCTAAGTATTTTGGAAACTCTATCTTAGTGGCACCTTAGCTCATTTCTCCAACTGTAAAAGTGGGTGGTGCCTTATGGAAGAAGTGAAGTTAGGTCATATGTTGTTCCATTCTCACCTTAAAACAGTTTAACATCATTCATTTTCTTTTTAAGTATCATGAAAATGAGAAAGTCTGAAAATTGTAATTTTCTAGTTGGAAATCTCCATTTCCTGATTTAATTTCTTTTGTCTCAAACTGAACACACAAAACACCCACCTTTAACGGATCTGAAATCTCAGAAAATTACAATCTAGGAACACCAGCATGTTTTCCAGATCCTTCATTTCTACTTACCAGACTGATCTGAAGGCATGGACAGTTCAACTGCAACATTCAAACATTAAATATTGAACTCCACCTTCCTGTGACCCTATTCCTTCCTGCACAAGAGTTTCCAGAGCACCTCAACGAGCTGAAAGCATCTCAGCTGCACTAGGCTAGTTTCTCCAGCTGAACCACACTGTCTGTAACGTCATGGCAGCTCAGTGAATTGATTTATAAAGAAGGCAAAAATGGGCTTGCAAACTGTAATTCCCACAAGGTAACCTATTCATAGAAGTCAAGACGAAAGTCTCTATTTTTTTGAAGCGGTCTGTAGAAAAATATTTTGGATTATCACCCAAAATATTCCATTTTAGATCAAACTGATGCAAAACTAAATATTGTTTTCATTCTTAACAGAAAACTAAAACATTTCTACCAAGACAAAATCTTGCAGAAAATGGCCTCTGCTTCATCTTCTATACCAAAAACACCATGACTGAAAATCCTTCAAAATGAGACTTAAGTTTAAACAAGGTATTTTGGGATTCTTTTCCTTTAGCTTCAGCCTGTAAGGAAAACTTTGTCTGAGCCTGAAGGTTGTGCTAAGGGCAATATATTATGCGCTTTTATCTGAGCAGAATAAATATACCTTAATTTTTAAGCAAAAGCTGACCCCAGTGATTAAGGTTTCAAGAAAAACATGAAATATGCTGAGTCAGCAACTTTATTCATGTAAATCATTGCCAGCTCTAAAAGCAAACACACTTATTTGCACAAAACCAAATTTCTGTCCAGCAGCACAGGACTCAGCATGGCATCAGTGTAAAATGTGCCTGCTGCAGTTTTGAACAAGTGGCTGGTGCCACCCTGTGGAAATCTTCAGGAAGCAGGGCCATGGCAAAACCCGTTTCTTGAACAGGGTACCAAGGCAAACGAGTGAAACATGAAGATTTTGGAAAAAGTCCCATCTTCCCATCCAGCAGACAGAACACATCACGTTTCTTGAGTCAACATCTTCAGTTAAAAAAAAAAAAAAAAAAAAAAAAAAAAAAAAAAATGGTTGTGCCAATCACCATTATTTTTAATTACAAAACTTAAACACACAGATTGAGATCCACATGGAAGGCAAGGTGACCAAGTGCTATGTTGGTGACAGACCTTAACAGAGAAACTAGCAGTCCTCCTGTTAAGAGGGCTCCCAAACAAGCTGTATTTTGCATGGTTGGTACATACATTTAATATGGTCAGGATATACCTGTTTACATTCCAAATATATAGCTGTGGAAATTCTCCTGGAACACTCCATCTCACTGGAGTGACTCTCATTGAAGCAGAAATATCAGTAGTAAAGAGGGCTGTCTCTTGCTGCTGGCAGAGAGAATGGCAGGACAGTAAAAATGAGTGAAAATAAGACATGAAATTACCTGAAATGCCCAGATCACACACTGCTAAATTAACAGTCATTATCTCAGCAGGTCTCAACTTCTTTTTTCGCTTTGAGGACATAAAAATAACATATCCATTTCCCAGAGTTGAAAGAATCCCTATAATAATGAAAAAAAAAAAAAAAAAAAAAAAAAAAAAAAAAAAGAAAAACATCAAATTAGAATTATCCTCAAAACCAACAATATCACATCTTCCTTGTGAAATTCTCATTATTTTCAGCCTGAACCTGTGGTCCCAAGGCTTTTACTCTGAAACATGATCATCTCATCCTCATTATGCAGCTCATAGAAGCATCTACTGCAGACGCCTCCCTCCCACAGCAAATGTTATTTTCACCTCTGTAGCAGCCTTCACCACCTGAGCCTGCACAACTGTCAACTGAATGTACAATAGAAATCCCATAATTCCTCTGTTCTGAACAACCCCATTTTTCTCACAAACATTTAAACATCGACAAGAATGAAATTCAGCTGTCTGTAGCCACAAGAACCCCAACCTCTGACCATTAAAATTATTTAATTTTAGTAAATACTATAAACAGAGGTTGAGAGATAAATTTCCAAAATAATGTAAATTAATATATCGAAAATTTTACAACACAAATCGATTTCAATCATAAGAAAGAAAAATTATAAAATAGATCTAATTTTAACTTCCAGCTGGAATACAGCGCATGAGGAAGGATCCTCTGCACGTTGTCTGACATCTTTTTTGTCTTATCAGCACCCAAGGACCCGCAGGGACCAATGCTGCAAGTGGTTAATCAGCCATGGAGCTAATCACACTGGTACCAAAAACTACAGGGGTTTCAGTTCCTTTAAAGAAAACTCTTTCTTCACTAACTTATGTTTGAAAGAGTTCAAGCCCAGAGGGAACGTTTTGCAGTGGCAACAGGATAGCACACAAGATCCCTTTCATGAAGCAAGAGTCACCCCCGAAGGTGAACACCCCGAGAGGACTGTGGCCCACTGGAGGCCTCACAACAGAGCAGAGGAGACAGGTGAGAAGGAGGGGGATGCAGAAGAAAAGAGTGAAGAGCAGAGTGGCAGAGACCCCAACCTCCTTCACGGCTGTTGCCTCACCAAAGGGACCTACAACAGCAAGAGGCAAAGGATGTTGAAATTCAGCCTCAGAAATGGGGAGGAAAGGTGCTTTCCTTAAGCGTTTTATGTTTGTCATCTTTATTTCTCACTATCCAAATCAGTAATTAGACATGAAGTTAAATGCCCCATGATGAGTCTGTTTTTCCCACAACAGTAACGGATGATTGATCTCCCTGTCTTTACCTCCACCCTGTTTCTATCTCCATGGTTTTTTATTTTCCTATCTCCTCCCCATCCCACTGTGGGGACTGTAAGCAAGTGGCTGCCCTGGGTGCTTGGCTACCAGCTAAGGCCAACCCTCCACAATACTATAAAAAAGTCGTAAATAGCATAACGTGCCTCTGTTGGTGAGGCAGCAATGTCACTCTTCGTGATGCCTTCCTACACATGGCTTTGGTTCTGCAAACTCATGTTTTGAAAAGACCCAGCAGCCCCCCAGTCTCACAGCAACATCACCCTGTCCAAATATTGTACCTTTGAACACCACATAATTTTCCTCAGTGTCTTCTGGAAGGCCAGATCTCAGAAATTAAATGTGTAATTATTTACTCTGTCCCATCAATGGAACAATCCCCTTGCAATGGTGCAACCTGGGAATATCCATGAGGCAGAGAGAAAAATGGTTCCCAGACTATTCTCAAGAAAGATGAGTAAACGTGGAACCAAAATTTTACCAAACTCAGGAGAAAAATATTTTGATTTTGAATTTTTCAGTAATAAATGCAACACTCATCTAATGGGAAACACTTCTTATTTTATACTTACAGTATTGCTTTCTATATTGTTTTAAAAAACAGGATAGAAGCTGGTTTATCACTGAATCTTAGGCTTTCTCAGGAAATTTGTTTTATCTTTGGTGAATGAAATTTAAAGAACATCCTATTCTTATGACTGAAAATTTAATGTGAATTATAAGTGCATACAAATATTCATGTGAATTATTTTCTTCTCTGCAGTTAAGTGAATGTATCTCAGTGCTGCTGAGCATTTTTCATACATCTTAATCCTTTTCTCTCTTAATGTCATTTTCTCTCTAGTGATATTTATGATATCTACAGTGCCAGCATTCAGTTTGAGACACCTTTCAAAAACACCCGACATTTTCCTGAATCTTTTTTAACTGACTGGTAGTCCAGAGAGATGTCTTCATCAGACAAGACCCTAAAGCAACTGCTCATTATTAATAGCAATGTTTCAGAGAACCCCAGACCACTGATGCCCTAATCCTACAGCTGGAAGGAGTCAAGTGATAATTTAAGTTGCCTTTTGTCTATATCTGCATCTGACAATTGCTTATCTGAATTCTTGTTTAACTCCTTGGTGACAGAATCTTTGTAATCTCCTTAGGTGAACGAGCTAATGCTTCTTTTTTTCTTTTATTAAAAAAGATTGCCCTAATACCTAGCTGAAGTCCTCACTGGTGCAGGCTCCCAGCTCTGCTAGGTGCTGGCAGGCTGCGTGCCTGGGCACAGCCCAGGGTTGGAAACAGGGGGAAAAAGACTTTTCAGATATAAGATAAAGTTTTTTTTCCAGGAGGAAGCACAAGTGTCCACAGCACCGTAACACTATTACATATACACAAACAGGGACCCAAGGATGCACTAACTAAAAAAGTGACACCTACAGAGAAAGAGCCAGGCTCATATACGTAACCTGCAGCGAAAGGTGAAAGTGTATAAAAGTAACAATCTGAACAAATAAGACTCCTTTCCTCCAATCTGTCAGCATTACTAAATCATCAGAGGGGAAAAAAGAAGGGGAAAAAAAAAAAAAAAAGAGATCGTTCCGAATTTTGTTTTCAATTAAGTTGTTTCATAACACACTGAGGAAGCATGCAGCAACAGTTTGCAAATCAATAGTTACTTTCCACAGGCTTTCAAAGGAGCTGACAGCCAGTGGGTCGCTGCTCAGTAGTTAGTCACCCTACCTGGCTGTGCAGTAAATCAATCAAGTCAGGGATGAAAAAACTAACAGGGGAAGTGACAAAGTAAAAAGAATTGGATTCTTACAACCATGTGTACTGTTTGATTTTTTTTTTTCCAGACAATTCAAAAAATACACGTGGAAATGAACTAGTTAGGACAAAAGATCACACATTTGCAGGGAATTCATCACAGATTGACCATGACACCTGGTCTTCTTCAAAGACAAAAATAAAGTATTTTTATATTTTCAAACTGCAATACTTCAGTTGTACAACCAGCCTGACCCTAAAGGCTCTGCTGAGTTTCCTAATAGAATCCCAGCCTTGTTTGCTCACTGGGCAGCTTCTTCCCCTTTTTCAAATCAATCTTGAACTCACTTGTGCCTTACATGCCTCAAGCACGAAAGATGCCCGATAGCAATCCCTACCTCTTGTCTTCCCACCTGTCCGCAGCTAGTCCCTCTCTCTGCTATCAGGATGTCCGCACAGGACATCCCCAAGCAGGGCCACCATTTCTTGGAAGGGATCTGCAAAGGAACGGGGACACAGTTCAGTGGCAGGAAGTGAAAATGGACAGGTTCGGTCTGAACCACAAGTTATAATAAAAAAAACATAGACATACCCTCACTGGGTACAGCAACAGAATGCTCCAGCTTGGTTTTCCGTCGTCTGCAAATTACACAAAGTAAATCTGCAACACTGCAGAGTTATCCCAAGACACAACTATACCCAAGAGCTATTTGAGCACGTAGTTTTTGCTTATGGTTTTGGATACCTGTGAGCTGTCATTAACTCATATAAAGCTGCCAATATAAAGCTCATATAAAGCTGCCAATTAAAGCAAATTTACAGCCTTAGCAAGACTGTTAGTGTGGAATTTGATGCCAGTGAACAGTTTCACAGAGCTAGGCTTCCTTCTCCACCACCTTAAGATCGACTATCTAGCACTGAAAGTCTCTGCATGGCAGTGCTTCTTGTTCCAACAGAAAAATGGATCCTCTGAACTGTCAGAATTCAGCTTAGTGGAAAGGGAAGTTTAGGATTATTTTTTTACTATACAGAAAGTTTAAAAAGCTATTCAGAGATTTACCTGGGTAGCACAAAGATTAATTTCCTTTTAAGCTGTCATATTTTTGCAAGCCCAAGGTATTATTGAAATGTCGCTATCCACCTAAACATGAATGTGTAGTAAAATACGGATCTGCACATCAACAGGAGCTAACAGTGACATCCCCAAGCCTCTAAGCTAAACCAGTCTTTTAAGGTACAACTCACATGAGAAACATTAGCCCAAAGCCTTTTTTTTGTTTGTTTTGGTTTGTTTTTTGTTGGTTTTTTTTTGTTAAGAGACATATTTAAAGGCTACTTTACCCCATCTATTCAGAAGCAGAGAAGATGACCTAACATTGCTCCTTCCACCAGTTTTATTTACTTCCCTCTCTTAGTGGCTGAGCTGTGAGGTGTAATTCTAGTTTATCCGTAAAAAGCACAACACTTTTCTTCACAAAAACCCCTATAAAAGCAGGGGGTTCTGTACTTCTCTCAGCCTCTGACAAATTAATATCCATTTCTGTATTATACACAGTGTCCAAAACGCTATTGTGCTGGTCTAGAAAACATGAACCCAGCTGCATTGCTGAAATGGCTGAGGGCACAACTGACCAGCATCTCAACAATGACTGCTTAAAATCGTTGCAAGCACTGCTAAAAGGAATTTAAAATATCTGTGCAGGATTCCAATGGTATCTTATGCTATAGAGGCAAGTCTAAGGAAGATGCAAATATGTCATTTACATATGCCTGTGAAAAGCATACTTGGCTCTATTGAAAGCTGCTACTGGACTGTGTAATAATAGTAAGTGTAAAGTGACTAACCAAGTAAAGTGCAATGCAAAACAAACACACACAAAAAATAAGTTAAACCCAGAACAAAATGTAAGATATGATATCTAGAGCTACACATATATACAGCAGAGATACATCTTGAACTTTCCTGGCTTGGGCCACTGGGTGCACCCAAGACAGGCTGTTTGATGTCCAGTCCACAACATCAGAAAGGTGGAAAACTTACTGATAAATCTCACTCATAAATCCAATATCAAAATGATTATCAGCCCTTTTTAAGCTATAATTTCAATCTCCTCACACTTCTCATGTAAGTCTGTGCCTTCATGGTTAGGTTTTGTTTTTTCACTGGAAATTTATTTTGGTTCCTTGACTTAATTTGATTATGTTTTCCAAGATGTTTCACACCTGGCAGGGGTATTTCTTTGGAACCAGATAAATCTACACTAAATACAGCCAATAACAAGTCAATACAGTGTACGCTGGAAGGATTCATTTCAGCTAATCAGATGTATTTCCTGGGATTAAAGCTAAATTTTCTTAACCAAGTGAAAAAATCCCCAAAGTGGGGGGTTGTTTTGGACAGTTTGCTGAAGACATCTGTCTGCATAGCAGCACAGAATTCTATATATGAAAAGCTAGGATACATACAAAACAGTGCATGAATACTGAGAACAGCTTCACCTTCCATCTCTACTGCTCTGAATTCACTTTTAGATAAAGACATAAGTAGAAGACAAACGAGAAATAGGTGTTATTCAAGCCCTTGTGAAACCTCCACTGCAGAAAAGATTAGATTACTTAGATCAGTCAGGGGAAAGGCAGTAAGAGAAAGTAGCAAGGAGGGATGTAAAATAGCAAATGAGAAACATGAAGGTAGGACTGAAAGATCTTTGTAATTTGTGAAGAACTGAAAGAACAAGGAAATGAATCAAAACCAAAATAAATGACAAGGAATACACTGTATACCCTATATTTGGCCTGGTGATGAGCTGTCTGACACCCAGAGTCCAGTTCAGTGTAGCAGTTACATGACTTTGGCTCAGTTACTGAGAAAAATAGCTGCTGAGCTGTGAGAAACTGCATAAACTAAAGCCATAAAACACTAGAAACCCTAAACCATAGAAAGAAGTGTAAGCATTGAGGCACCAGAAGCTCCAGTACTCGAGAGCAAAAATATTGACGCAAAAAAGATATAACCTTGCCCCCATCCCCAAAGCAAGGACAAGGACCAGTTTATTCCTAGAAGCCATGGACACTGCTGTTTCCCAGGTGAATGACAACTCTGTGGCATAGAAGACTTAAAGTCGAGATCAGTCCCAGTTACCATCTATGTGCACTAACAAATAAATAGCTGCACCTATTTTGCTTGCAAAGTCATTTTGCACATGGTAAAAGACTCCAAAACTAAAGGAAGGGGAGTGTGTTAGGCAGAAATCACTGTTAATATAATACGTGACAGAGGACAGCTGATGCCAGGAGCAGAGCAAGATTCAGATGAGCACATCCGAGGATGTTCTCTCTGCTGTGTAGGCACATGAGAGAGGTTTTGAAAACAGGCCATAAAACCCACATAGCATAATGGCAAAAGCCAGTTCCGGTCAAGAATGACTAAACTGCAAGCTAGTAACATATCAACCAAGAAAAACTGAGTATTTCTTCACTTTTTGCTGGAAGGTCTACTGCTAGCCACTTTTAGCTATGTGGAGCAGCACTGACTGTTGGCACTAACTGCTGACACCATATTTCTAACTCATTCTCTCCTCTCCCTCCCAGATTTTTCTTTCTAGTATGAAGGAATACATGATTACACAACTAAAGCACAGCAGCTTCTGCCTTCTTTGTGAGTGCCTACAAGGATTCAATGGCACAGTCATATTTCAAAGAGGAACTAAAGTTCATTACCAATTACGGTCAAATAAAACCCAGCTACAATGTCAGCTTCTCTAGAAAGCTTTGATGCGAAGGGGTCTTCCTTCTGGAGATAGTGTGGGAGGTACTCTTCCTGGGAGGACGTGTTGTGATCCGATGCCATCCCATTCATGTCCAGGTCAGTGTCTGAAAATCAAAAGTACAGAGTTTGCAATAAATCATGTCTGCCACCAGAAAATGTAAAGATGTTTTTGTTCATAACCAAGATGCAGCCTCCTGTCTTCATTTCTGTTCTACCAGCTTCCAGGGTATTTCAGGATCCAATTCAAAATTGCATAAAGCATCCTGCCATGATTTATTTCATGACTTACTTTATCCAAGAATGTCATTATTCATATGGCACTCACTACAGTAATCCATCTGAGCAGCATCTAGGTACCAGTGTGTTACAGCATTCAAGCCAGGGCCTCTGAAAGTGCCTTCCTTAAATACCTTAAGGAGTTTCCTATTTTCAGCTGGGTGTAAGAGTTACCCAAGACTGAGAAAAAAACAAGCAGGGCAATTGTTTATGTCTGACTAGCTTCATTGCTCAATGTGTTTAATGCATACTGAATTTGTTGTCTTTATCTATATGCACTGTTCTCATAATCCCAAGAAACTGAGAATTATCAGTAAGACAGTCCCGGCAATTTTTTCATATCCTGAGGGACACTATGTCTACAGATAGTAGCTCGGCACATTTTACAGTTAAGTGAAATATTACATCCATAAATTTTCCTTAGAGTTATTTAGGTGGTGGGTTCTAATGTAAATAACTTTACATGGTTATGGTTATAAAGAGTAATCGGCTATTACCGTTATGAAGAAGCAGCAGGAATATTAAATAATAGACCCATTTGGGAAATCTTGTTGAGTTTTCTTTCCGTTTCCTTTTGTATGGAAAAGGGCTACAGAGGTCAAATGTGCTAAGATCAATAAAGTGAACCCTGATATGGGAAAACTAGAATCTGGCAGACAGCCATGAAGGTTACCCCTCCAGGACAACCGAAGAAATGAAGTGAGGATCTCTAGCATAAACCAAAAACATTTCTGCAATGTTTAAAACCACCCAGCCAAGAGCTATTTGGAACATTCAGGTCACCCCAGTTCTTCTTGCCAGTGCTTTGTTGGGCAGAAGTGGCATGCAAGAACTTTGCATTTGACTTCTAGGGCTTCCGTCCTTTTTGCTGTGGGACCTGGGACAACTTGTGCAGCTCTAAGTTTCGCCCCCTCAGGAGTCCAGACTTGCAGGGAGAGTAAATGAGGAGAGAAAATGCTTCATTATTTTACCCATTTGCTATCTCTTCTGCATCTTAAAGGCAGTCTTCTTAATAACAGCCCTATTGGGCCAGAAATTTAGCAGATGACACCTGTTTACACCTAAAGTACCCATAAACCCCTCTCTGCTGTCTATCTAGCTTTGGAAAAAAGACCTTATATAAAGGAATCAGGTCATGGGGGCACATTGTCACTCTAGACATGGGAGAAGACAAAAGACATCCTAGGCATATGCTAAGTCTTTAAAGTTCAGCAGCTTCACTGCTTTTCTTTTCTTTTTTTCTTTTCTTTTTTTTTTTTTTTTACCTGATAAAGGAAAAAATAAGCAAAGGCCTATTAATTAAAAAAAAAAAATCTTAGGTGACTTCATGACCACTTTTCTCCTTCCACAGCCATAAAGAACAAGCACTTCAAATTGTTCACTGTTCCAGGCAGCAGAGCAACCATTTAGGTTTGGGTTGGGTGCCTGGACATGGTCTAAAGAATCCATCTTCTACAAAAGGGTGGACTAAGGCATGAATCTGGGAAACAGTCTGACTGATCATCCTCTCCATCCAATCATAGCCACAGGTCTTGATCCAAATTCCACCTGGCCTTTAGAAGGATTATGGCATTTTTCAGCCCGTGAGCTTGCACAGTCCTGCACCTCTCACATCGCTGCAGCATTTGAACCATGTGAGTGGGTGAAATGATGCAAAAGGACAAGCACATGGGACTGTCAGCACAATTTGGATTTGATATAAATACATATCAGAGTATTTAAGGACATGTTCCTTTCCTGAACCACACTAAAATCTCCCACTGAAATCAATATTATGTGGCTCACATGGACAATATTGTCCAGCTTACAGGTAGACAAAAAGAAAAGGAATTTGCAACTTCTGTATATGTTATGTCCAGCCAGAAGCCCAGTCATTGAGATTTTTAACCTGCCTTGGAAGCAAAGGTGCAGGTTTCCCAAGCAAATCACAGCTACGGGGCAGGAGGAAACCCTCTCTAATCAAACTGAATTGCCACAACATGGCAGATTTTGCTGCTCTGCTCAATATAAGTTGTTTACCTGATTGCAAAGGTTAATGGTATGACAGACTAGTCCTATCTGGTTGCTGAAAAAGAAAACTTATCTTCACTTTAAACCTAGAGAGGATATTGTTTCTCGAAAATTTTCATCAAAAAGAAAAGGGAGATTAATGTCTATCTTCCAAAAAGACACACAAGCCTTTCTCATTGTTTTAAATCATGTCTGGCAAATTAAGAATAAGTTTTAGATATAAGAAAATAAAAACTAAGTTTGTTTGATTTACACAAAAAATGTTACAGTGACATATAAAGCAGGATTTTAACAGCAGATTATGGCTTTAAAGGATTTTTATCATCCTGATTAGTCAGGAATTAATTGTGCCCCCCAAATGACGCTCTATTCAAGCATCCAGTCTCACTTTTAGAGTGTAAAAAACAGAAAGTGATGTAATTAACAAGGCAGACTATTTATTCCTCTCACAATTCCAAGTCAAGAAAAGTCACAATCCTGATAATCACCTAGTGCCTAATTGTTGGGTAAAAAAATTATGATGAAGGATAACTTTTAAAATATTAGGCAAAGCTTAGTAAATGTAGGGGATGTGCATTTTCTCACATGATTTTTTTCAGGAACAAAGTTTTGAACTGCTAACTCTGTTGGTTTTGTTTGTACATGTGCTTTTTAAGATACCACAATATTAAAAGCCTGATAAAAGTCATAAAGGTTCTGATCCACAGCTTCTGTAAATTAATGAGTTGGGGCAGGGACTATAAAATGTTATTTTAATATAAACGTCAGTAATCCATGCTTGCACCAGTCTTCATTGCTTGCAAATTCCTGTGAAATCCTAAAACATACTGGGAAGCTACAAAAAGGGAAGGTCTACTAACACAAATGATGCCTTCTTCCTCGTGGCTCAGATAAATATTGACACATACCGGCAAAATCTGAAGTCCTTAATCTAAATTAGTCAGAAAACAATCACTTCACTTAGGTTAGCTTGCCAAAAATGGATGTCAAACTGGTATGAAGTGGGGAGAATATTTTTGTAACTTTTCAGGCAAATGAAGGAAATATTGATACAAATAATTTTAAACAACAACAACAAAAATCTTAAAAAAAAAAAAAAAAAGGCGTGTTGTAGCTCAGAGACAAAAGTTACTTAGTATGAGAAAGAGAGGTATGTAGTATGTGTCATAGGAACTGTGGAAACTGAGATACAATCGGATGCTGCAGAGATTCCTTTGTGAAAGTTACTGCGACAGCGGTGCTTTAATGTCCTTGACAAGAGAGCACAAGGAATGAAATATTATATTCAATGTCATGGACCACATGTAAGTGTTATAATTATTTGTAGAAGCAGATGAATTTACCAAGGGATACATGGTAGCATGAAACAGATGTCTGTGGACCCAGTGACACCTCGTAGAAAGAATTAGTAGATCTCATTTTAAAATAATGAGCACAGCTAGAGGGATAACATTTCAAGTATGTTAATTAAGAATATAACCTCATATCCTCTCATGATATGTTAAAAACAATAAAACTATGTGTAATTTTATCTGAGTCAGTAAAAGACAAAAGTTAAAAGGATACATTAGTGCCAGATTGTTATCTTTTAAGAGAAAAAGAGGAAATTATCTTTTTCTTTAATTTGTCCAGTGACATCTATTTCTCAGAGTCTCCACAAATTTAGCCAGCTCTCAGTGTCTGCTGGATCCCAATTCATACAGTCAAGTGTAATTTTTATTCTAAATGTCCCTTGTGTATTTTGCACAGCCCATCTCAAAAGCATGGGCTGCGGAATGCATAGGCAAAGGTCCCCAGTGAGCATTGACTTCATCCTCCTACACCCATCCCGGCTGCTCTGCTGATAACACAGACCACAAGTTCAACACACCCAGGAACAAACACTCCTTCACTCTTTAAATACCTGCTTCCCGGCACTAATTTTTCTCCGGTTTGATGATGACTGTCAAAAATAATTTCTGTGACACACATCCTTAACCAAGTATCTCCTAACAGTCCAGCTAGCTGCTGTATTTGGGTATGTAAAGAACAGTGACCAGAAAACTTATCTCAAAAAAACACAGAATACACCCTTTTCTTTTTTTTTTTTTCTTATTTTATTCTTTTTTTCTTTCCTCCTATGTAGTAAAATAGATTTTCTTAAGAAAGAAGGTCTTGATTTAATCTCTGTTTAGGGCCAAAGTCTGAAGATTCAAGCTATGGACTGGGAATACGTTTTTTGTCCTTAGTAGACTTGTTTACCCACCAGGCTACTGGTTATTCTGGGGTAGATTCTCTCACACGTGTTGAAGAATCACCACTTTGAATTCAGTAAATTAAAAGTTTAAACTAACATTTTCTAAATTTCAGGTGCACACTGTGCTTCATGACATCAGACTGCTTGCTTTAGTGCTAATAACAACAGAAATCAGTTAAATTATAATGTTTTATATTTCTCCTATAAAAAAAAAAAGAATCAGAGAGCTTTTGGAACATCAACTTTTTGGATGCTGATTCAAGGAAAATTCTTCACGTTTACCCTTCACAGAAGATCTGCCCAATCAGCCTAATGCGACATCACATAGCAACACTGGCAGGGCACAGATACGGGAAAAGCTACACTTAGATGTATATGGCCCCCAACTTGGGCTAAACACCCTGCTGAGAGGTGAAATCTAAATTTTTTATTAAAGCCCTAGTTAGGTGTTTTTGTTTCCTTTCAGTCTTAAAAGTATGAAATGACTTATTACTGAGTTTTGATACAATGCAATAATTATAAAAAAAAATGGGACAATAATAAGTTCACAAATAGTTATGTGAGTGTCTGCATCTACTTTTG